TTATCATTATATCGCTATAAGATCGACTTTATCTTGAAACGTTAATAAACGATATTTTCCGATATGCATAAGCATATCCTTCAAATTCGTCAAACAATCCGTAAAAAGACGTTTCTGTCAAAGGTATCAAATTTGCGCAATCGGAAAATATTCAATTATATTTAACTGCACTAAAAAATGCTCTATTCTTACATACATCTTTTAGAATAATTGTGTACAACTTCGTTTAACCGTGAATATATATGTTTATAAGCGTTTCGCAAGGAATTCCTAAATTTCTGCTGAAAAACACTGCTAAAGCGTGACAAAGTTGGGGGGGGGAAATAGAAAATTAAATGATAATTAATAACTGCGATTTCTTGTTTCGCGTGAACCCATGATTTCGAACGATGATGAAATTTGCCCGCGAGTTATATTTAAACAGTCATTATTTTATGAACCACTTGATATCTTTTATCAATGATAGCGCGGACTGTTTGATAAATATAAAATCACGTTACTCCCACAGACAATAGCTTTATTATATAACCATTGCTCTTGACAGATTGTACTTCGGAAGCTATTACTACTCGGAATAAAAACTCCCAACTCGCGTAGTCGTCGCTTTTCCGTCAGTTTTATATTTTTAAACATGGCCTTATACATGTTTTGCACATGACACGGACGAAACAATGCCTTTCCGTATTAATCGCTTATCGCATTAAATGTTGACGCGCGTCGCGCGACAAATATGTTTCCGCGATATTCGCGCAGTATTAATACGTATCATAAAATTTCAAAACACGTATCTCATTATGAGAGAGACTTGCACGTTGACAAACAGGAAGCGATAAAAGATATTCTAAGAGCGCTTGTTGAGAATATATAGAGATAACCGTAACGTAAATTCGACACCGCGTCAACTGCAACGTATACAGAATATATATATATATATATATATATATATATATATGCTCATATAGTATATGTACACTTTACATAAAGACGTCAAACTCATACAGAATATTATCGCGCAGGGTATATCTGCTCTTAACGACTGGATAAGAAAATGCATACTTATGGGTTTTCATTCGCTGAGCTAAGAGGTCTCGACTATCAACGACGTTCTCTTCTTCGTCTTTGGTCAAGCGTGTAAACGTATTTAATCGAAGCAGTACATTTCTTACTCTTCGAATACGTGTCTCGAGAAACTGTCCATCTTTTATCTTCCGTGACGTAATTACGCGTTCTTTTTTTGCTTTCAGACTCTCAAGTAGTCGCCGTATAACAAGAAAACGAGACACATAACGATGCATCATCAACCAGATATTCACACGATAAGCAAAACGGCGCCGCCGTCGTACGCGGAAGCGATGGCGCAAAACGCGACGAAAGAAAATTCGTACGCACCCCCGTACGGCCAGCCGACAACGACGACGTACGACCAAGGCTGTTCGCAGATGCCCGGCTATCCACCATCCGCGCCCGCGAATAATTTCTACTCGAATATCCCTTGCCAGCCGTCTTTCAGCCAGTCGTACGTACAGATGGAATCGAGTCAGCAATGTCACCGCGCAACCGCACCCGCTATCGCCGTTTGCGTGGCACCGGTGGAAGCTAGACAAGATAGATCATGTTGCGAACGTAAGTTCACGCGGATCTCACTGAACATCGGTTGCTACTCTGAGTTTCACATAGGCCGGTATAGTGGACTTAACATATAGCGCACGGAAAGGAGAATCCCGTTGGGGTAACTGAATTTTTTGTTGCCCGAGGATCAGACGAAAAATCGATCGTAAGATCGAAAAGATTCCTGTTTTTATTCAGTCAATTACTCTTAGTCGTCTCAACCAAAGCTTGACGCATTTAAATGTTCACATGAATATTATATTCTCACTCGTGGTAACAGAAATGTTATTTTTTGTCGCTGAATTTTCATCTCTCGTCATCGAATTTTCACTTGGCTCCTGTTCAATTGCAGGAACTGAGTTTCACTTCCGTGGCGTAATAATAAATCTAGGATTTTTTTGGTCACTCGTATCTTGTTAACGTACTCATATATCATGACTCTTGGACTCTATATTAATGGTTCACTTGAAACTTGTCTTACGTGAAATACTCAAATTTAAATTCGAAGTTAGAACTAAGATTTTCAGTTGCGTTGATTTATCTGATGTATCCGTAATTGCGATACAACTGGTAAACTCGTATCTAACTTTGTATTCGAATCTGAATCTCATTTGAAACAGGTTTCAAGAAAACAACTCGATCATTATTATTTGCAAGTCGTGTTATTTATCGTAGCGTAAAATCACGCATGAAAAACGAACCGATCCTCGATATATGTTTACCGTTTCGTTGAATAATTAAGTCATGACGTATGAATATACAAAGTGTCTCAAAATAACTATATGCGGAGTGCACTGAAAGATTCTTGGTACCAAACGTTGTAATTTCCCATTTAGCAAAATTTCGTTCATATGGTAGTTTTTAAATGCGAGCTGTTTAAAATTGTCGAATTAGCGTATGAAGTTGCGCATGAGTCAGAAGCGGAACCACAGTTTACAAGATTCCCGTGATATTTTGTGGTAGAAAAAACATTTTCTACCTCGCTAAAAATTTTTTCCGCGTCTTGTATGCAATTGTATATATTGCAATTGTATATATTTAGATTTATTGCTATTTTGAATAAAACTTATTCATATATAAACGATATCGGTCCATCGGTATTTTTCAAGGCCACAAATATTTTGTTAAAAGTTTGAAACAACATTTCGTATAAAAAATTATTTATGTATTGTTTAAGCATATTACTTTATTATTTGTGGTCGTTCATTCAGTGGTGTCGATAAGAAATTCTTTTAAATAGATACTATCCGAATTGCCGCTATTTTTAATGAAACTTACTTGATACAAAAGAATTTTTTATCAATGCCACTGAAAGAACAACTATAAATAAAATAATATATTTAAAAAGCAAATTATTTTTTTATGCGAAGTATTGTTCCAAAAGTTGTTTTATTCGGTACAAAGAATTCCGTGCAATCCGCATGCAGTTATTCTGAGACACTCTGTAAAAAAAAAAATCGTAGTATCCTAGAACATGATAAATGTTATGATAAAGACTGTTATGTCGATTTGTGTGTAAATTTATATAAAAAGGCAAAAACTGTTACTTGTTTTCGATGTTATAGCGAACTTTTTTGTCTGTTTCAGACTGCGCCTCGTGCAACAAAAGAATCGCCATCGCTCTCGTATTCGCGGTTTTGGTTATGTATTTAATAAAGGTGATAGCGGCTCAGTAGCTATAATCAATCAATAAGTGTACAACGTATTCGCGATTAAACGCGATCATGCTTATATAAGAAGTGTCGTGCTAAGGTCGAATGAACTCGCTGAATGAATTAGTCGAATTATTTATACAATACGGTGAAGATGCAGTATTAAGCTGTCGCTGCTAGCACAATACATCATTGATGAAATCGACTAGACTGCTTCATCGAGGATTACAATCAATGACATGTCCAATCCATGTCAAATATCTATTTTTATCGATATGCAACAGAGATCATTAGATTGGCTTGTGATTAACGATCATAATTATTCTTACTGATTTTGACTTGAACTTGAAGTTAATCTCCCACACCCACTCTTGACACGTGTAGACGTGTAGACGTGTAAATTGATGAATCGTTATCGTGAATACATAAAGTATAGACGTAATAACAGCGATTTTACTTATGCGATGTATATATGTAAATGTCTTTTTATAGTTCGTTATTCTTTGTACTATATAGTTTTTAGATTAATTTAAGTAATAGCGATATAAAATGATAGCATTACGCAACAATGCTCGATACGAACGACCAAGAAATAAACCTCCAATCTTTATACACAATTCATCTTACACCTATGTCGCGTACGCGGATATGTTATGACAAATATCAATTATCCGGTGTTTCGCACGGATGAACGAAAAGCGAGAGCGTCGATTAACTTTTCAAGCCGGCCGTTCCCGCGAGACTAGCGTACTACTTTTAATAGTATCCCGCCGGTGCCAATCACGATTTAAACGTCACGGGAGCGCGTTGTTTCCTCGCCGATCGTCCTCACCAGCCGCGCCCGTCCGGCAACTCGCTATAAAACAGGTCATTGCCGCCCATGAACCGGCGGCGGCGCGATAAGAATCGCTCTTCGGCGCATCATGGCTCCTTCATTTTCCTGCGTTCCGCATAAAAGGACCTATAACGCCTATTCACGGCGACGTTACACGGTGTAAAATAACGCGATGAGAGGAAGAAGGGAGAATGAAGAAAAGCGGGAGAAGGCGCGGGTGGGAAACGTTAACGGCCCTTTATCACACAAGATCGTGGTGTAACAAAATCCCATGTACCAGCGCGGCGTTCAGCGCGTATACCCCGCGCGTGCGAGCATTAAAGACGTCGGTCAACGTGGGCGACACGCTGGAACCCGTAGCGTAAGTAACGACCATATTTCGCAGGCTATAACAAAATGTCACATACACGTTGAGGGCGCGCGGAGAGGGAGAAAAAGCCGGCGGGTGGGTCGCGCCTGGGGGCGCGCGACATCGCCCGCTTTTATTATTGGCGCAATAAAATCCCGGTAACTGAGTAATAATTTAAAAGTTGAGCGCCGTTCAGTTCTCTCTCTCTCTCTCTCTCTCTCGAGCACCTTCGGCGCCGCTACGAGGTGAGAGAAGCGCGCGCGTTCGACAACGCCCGGCGTCGCGCCAATAACCGCGATCGATGAAATTCGAACGAATATTCCGCGTTTCGAAGTTTCAGCTGGCTTTGTTTTACGGGCCATCGTACGGCCCGGGGTGATCGTCCAAAATCATACCGGGCGCAGACAGATAATCTCACATGATCAAATGCTGCAGGCGTGCGCTACCGCGCGACATTAATTGATTTTTCTCGTCGGAAATCAATGCGATTTACTATCTAAGCATGCGACTACGTAGTACGACGCTTTGCATGAACGCTCGAATTTGACTCACTCACCATTTCGCGTTGATATCCCGCGATGTCCGTACCGGAAAAAGGTTTCGGTAATATATCAAAATTTGGTAAACATTTGCCGGCCAAATATTTGATTATAATTACAATCAGGCGATTTAGTTCCGTATTATAAATGTATAATATACGAAACTACAATAATGTATGAGCGGAACTAAATTATATGGTTGCAATAATCCAATATTTGGGCAAATATTTGCCAAATTTTAGTACTAATTACCAAATCCTTTTCTCAGTGTGTAGCGTAGGTCCACATCCGTCCAGTATCGTTCCCTCAGCATCCAGTTTCTGCAACATCCGGCCGTCATTCCACGTCGATTGCAACTCACTTCACTACTTTCGCGATAATACTTTACGGCAATCCGTTTGTCCTTGCGTCCAAGAACTATATAACAATCGTTCGCTCTACGTGTATTATTCCTTAAATCACGTGACCTCCAATTGATGGGACGAGCTTGATAACAGCTTTAAGTTATTTTTCTCCTCAATTTAACGTTTGTATCCTAATTATTAAGATTATGTTATTTTACACAATTTAATTCCCCCTTAATACATTCAAATGATTATAATGTATAATTATAATAATTACAGTTCGCGATATCGAGGAATAAGCAACATTTCATGTTAAAATAATTAATCAACACAACAAAATGATAATAAATTTATATGCTTTTTTAGTATAGGAACACAGAATTCAGAAAAAAATATGTCGAAATGTGTATGTGAAGGTGTTCCGCCTCTTTAGATGAAGAAAAACGAGATTAGGAAGAACAATTCTATTCATTGCAAATAATATTTCCGTAATCCAAAGATTAAAGAAGTTTGTTGCGTGTACGATAATATGAATACGCGCAGTTTTACTAAAGTGCAAGATATTCCGGCACATTTGCGCGTAAAACATACAATAGCCGTGCGAAATATTTCATTACGTTGGCAATTACATATAAACTTGTAGCCAAAGTTATTTAAATAATTTTCTCGTTCGGGTGACGCGTCGAGAATTTCGAGAATACACGCGCACATACGCGCGTACGTCTGTTCAATATAATAATGCGTTACAATAGCAATGGCAGTGTATTTCGCGATTACCACTCATTTTATATCCGTCAAAAATTACGCGCGACGCAATTAATTCGCACGTACGGCGATTGGAATTACAGAACGAAAGCTCGTCGAAAACTCGTCGCGTCGCGCCGTTCGCTCGCTCGCTTGTTCGCCGACAGACGACGGAATTTACGAGGCGGCTTTTGTACGATCCCGGGCGAAAATCGATCAGAAAAGCTTGAATAAGTGCGGAGGACGCATTGTCGAACGGGCGAAGAATACGGGAATTGTCGTTAGCGCGGTGACACGTCTGAGTTGCGGAGCGGGGAGACGGGGGGACTAGATATACGGTCGGACGTTGAGAGTGTAACAAGGTTTTCCGTTATCGAGTCTAAGATATCCCTAAAAAACGAGCGCCGATCGCGATGCATCTCCCCATGCGGACTACGGGGGCGAGGGGAACGTCGGGGGGGCAGGGAATGGTCGGGAATGCGAGGAAAACGCGGTTTCGTTCGCGCGCGCGCGTAAAAATAGATCTTCCTCCGACGGCGGCGCCGCTACCGCCGCCACCGCTCTGCTGGAATTCGATATCCCTTGTATACGTTGCACTCCGCATCCCATTGTGAGCGCAAAACGAATTAAATATTTTCGCAACGCGAACTAGCGCGAATCGGGCGAGCGAGCGAGCGGGCGAACGACCCGAAGAATTCCAATGTAACGGGACGGCGCCACGTACACGCACATGTGTGGAGATCTCGTTCGCGAATTAAAATTAATAGAACGTCCATCGATGAAACGATCGCTCGTTCGTTCGCGCGTATATACGTATTTGTACCGACGGTATATATATATATATATATATATATATATATATATATATACGTGCGCACGTTGCATAGTTCAAGATTATCGTGACGATCGATCGAAGCGATACCTGAGCGTATATATGGGGAGGATTCCAAATGACTGTTGGAAAAGCGAGTTTTTCCCGGCTCCGTGTCGGACTTTCGAGCTCGCCGCCGGTGAGATGTGGGCTCACGCGGGGCTCAACGTTTTTGCCGTACCTTTTTCCGATAATTAATGTTCGTCCCTGTGCGCGTTCGCAAAGCGAAGCGGTAGGGACAAACGCGAAAGAGAGAGGCGGATCAGATTAATGATTGTTTTACTCGCTCGTCATTACGTGAAAGGCAGCCCTGGTTATCGCCTCGGCGCGAGATAGCGAGAGGGAAAACGACGGGGAGACACATCGTGGGGGTGTGGGAACGTGAAACGTGTTCTCGGGCGAGAAATCAAAGAGTGTCGTGCGTCATTCTAACTCCTCTCGGGAGGGAGGGAAAAAGTCGGGGCGAAATCGGCGGACAGAGCACAGGGACGTTTCCGTTTTGTACGAATTATTTTCTCGGCTTGCGCCGCGAGAAAAATGAGGCGCGTTGAAACGCTCCCGCCGCGGAAGGACCTCCTGCGCTCGGTCCCCGGTGTTTCCCGACGCACGCCGTTACACGGTATTACGGTGAATTGTTCAATTATAACAAATTGCTTTATTATTCGCGCATCTCTCACCGGCGTTCTTGCCGACGACGAAACGTTCAATAATCGTCGCGTAGCGCCTTGTTCAACCAGAATAAATCGTCTCCTTCAATATTGTCTATTCGTTTTATTTCCAAAATGTACACGTTCACTCAATAAACGTTTCTAAATCGTCAAAATCAATCATCACGGTGACCGTGAAATAGTAGTTGGCTAAAGGGGTAAGTTGGCAAAATTGATTATATACTCTGTTGTTTTCTATAACAGGTTACAGAATCGAGCGAGTAGAAATTTCACAACTATCTCTGAAATCCCTGCTCGGTTCTGTAATTTGTTAGAAAATAGCATAGTATCCCCTATTAAACGAAAATGATTTTCATACATCAATTTTGCGTGTGGGTAATGTAATCGAGTATATAGCATCGACGGCACAACAACGAAAACAACAACCGATGTGCAACAACGACAACACGTACGCCGATGGACGAACGATATCAGTCATTGATGGAAGCAGCCAGCTGCGCCGGAAAGCATCCTTGCGAGAAGAGAAATCGATTCACACGTGATCTGCAAGTTCCCGGTGACGTATCCTGACAGAAGACTACGGTAGAACATGCTGAAGCATTCTCAATTATTGGAGAAGTCATCGGAAACGTGCGGTTTCCAGATCCGAAAACAGACGGGATGAGAAAGCGCGGGGTGAATGAGTGAACAAAGGAAAGATGGCAGAACCAAGAGAGCGAGCGGCCTAGGGAAAATGGAGGGAAGAGGGTGGGGGGGGGGGG